CAAAATGGTTGTTTACCCTCCCCCTGCTAGACACATAAGGAGATTTTCCTTCAGCCTTCCGAGCAAGAACCTGGTGGGGTTCCTGGAGGTAAAACTTGTGATAGATTGGGGATGCCCTTAAGACTGCCCCACCCCTTCCTGCCAGGAGTTTTTATTTTTCAAGTTCATCTACCTTGAGTCTTCAGGAATTCATCAGTTATAGTTTGTTCCTACTGTGATTCTGCTCCTGGTAAGCTGTGATTTTCTCTTGTCTCTCCCGTTTCTGGGGTGGCAGTTTGCCCTGTGACCTCAGTTCTGTGATGGATCTAAGAAGAGTTGTTGATTTTCAGCATGTTCAGTTTTTTTTTATTGTAAGAATGGGATTGACAACCTCTGTGTTCTTTGCTTGTCGAACCAGAAACCCAAAAAACCGGATATCTTATTCTTGGCAAGTACAGCATTATCACTTGCTGCTTTGGTTAAGAGTTCAGGCTGCTAACCAAAAGGTTGACAGTTCGAGTCTACCTGCTGCTCCTTGGAAACCCTACGGGCAGTTCTACTCTGTGCTGTAGGGTCTTTATGAGTCAGAATTGACTCGATGACAATGGGTTTATAGGTCAAAAATGTATAATGTTCTTTATGGTATACTAGAATAAAGAATACCAGAGTAAAGAGGCCAAAGTAGAATAGATAATACATGTTGCTTAATAGACTATTTGTCCTCCCTTTCATGTTCCTTTTATTGCTGCTGTGCTGGGTGGTGGGAGCCATAATTGATTTTTTCACACATTCTTTTGATAGTGTCTGTTGCTAGGTGCCATCAAGTCGGTTTTGACTCATAGCGACCCTATAGGACAGAGTAGAACTGCTCCATAGGATTTCCAAGGAGCAGCTGGTGGATTTGAACTACTGACCTTTTGGTTAGCAGCCAAGATCGTAACCATTACACCACCGGGGCTGCTTGATAGCATCTGTTGATGTATAAAAGGAGCCCTGGTGGCACAATGCTTAAGCTCTTGGCTGTTAAACGAAAGGTAGGCAGTTGGAACCCACCAGCTGCTCCTTGGGAGAAAAGACCTGACGATCTGCTTCTATAAAGATTCAGCCTAAAAAACACTGTGGGGTACTTCTACTCTGTCCTGTAGGATTATTATGAGTTGGAATCAACTCAACCACACACAGCAACAATAGTATTGATGTATAAAATAATCTAGGCAGATATGATTATCTAGAACCCAGTTATTTAAGTGAGAATCCTTCCTACTTATTATTCTTTCGTGTAGTAGTTGCAGTTATTTTATTATTTATTTTTTTAATATAACTAGGGAAGGAAGGGAGTCATCAGTTCCTTAACCAATTTAAATATAATTTGTCTATGATTTAGTCACAGAAGTTTGCTAGCATAGGAAGTAAAAACTAAATGTTTGAAAGAATCTTTTATAATTTTAAATTATTAATGCATCTAATATGGTCTGCTTTCTAGTTCTCTACTTTAGTAAGTATGATCCTCAGAGGTCTGCAGATCATATAACCTGTAGGCCAGATTAGGCCCACAGCTTGTCTGTCTCGGCCAGGAGTTAAGCATGGCTTTTTACGTTTTTCAAGGGTGTTTAAAGAAAGAATATGTGATAGAGACTGTGTGAGGCCCACAAAGCCTAAAATCTTTACTCTCTGTCCCTTTATAGTGAAAGTTTTCCCAGCCCTGTCATCCCTGTATGAATGCTCCCATCTTTCCCTGGTGAGAGGGACATGTAGTGGCTCGAGTGTGTGGGTGGCAGTGTGCCTGACACTGAGTTCTCACAGACCTAGCCCACTCACATGATTCCACTATGCGTCATTTAGTAGTGGCATTTGTACTGTTGTGTGGATGGACAGGTATTATGATTTTTTTAATCAAAATTGCAAATTTAATGTCTACATTTTATTAGAGAGTTAAATCAAAGGATCAGATAATTTCAGTGAGTCAGTAGGCAAGATGTGCATCTTTCTATAATCCTGACTTTTCTTTGAGTAGTATTTTTATACATACTTTTTTGTCTCTCAAATATAAATTTATGGTGTTCAACTGTTTTGCATTATTTAAGTTTTAATAGATTAGAAACAATAACAAACCTGTGATCATGTACCAAGTTACTTATTGAATTATACTATTTAAGGATGTTTTCAGAGAAAATAAAAGGTCACGTGAACCAGACATCGGGTTATTTGGTTTAATTTTCTGGGAATAGGATTGCCTTTATCAGATCTCAGTGTCTCTCATCCTCATGTTTGGCTGACAGTTTGACAGTGGCTCTGCTGTGGTGGAGATGGTTGGCAGGAAGCTGCTTTGTCAGCAGAAGAGGGCTGTAAACTGAGCTGGGGAGCCAGTTTCACCTCATCTTGACCTGCTAATCAGTGATGGGTTTTGTCAGCATCAGAAAATGTGACTGCCTGATTTTCTTTCATGTTAATTTTGACCTAGAAAGTAACATTTTAGGCAAGGCTACTGTTGATGTCACTCTGAAGATGGAATACCTTATTCCTGTGAACAAACCACATGCAGTACTCGCTCAATAAAAGTAGGACATATGCTAAGTGTTCTTTTGCAACCAGAGTTTTCACAAAATCACAGTAGCATTTAAATAAATAGCGTAAGCAGATTTGCTTATCTAGAGCATGTAAATCTTTCTAGTTTCGGTTTATAATATTTGAGCATAATTTGCCTCCTTTCTTTAAAGATAAGGAAGTTGTTTTCTACTTAACAAGTTGAAGTTAAGTTTAGCTTTGATATGTGGAAACATAATATGTCACTTTTATCACACAATCCAAATTTCTTCACTCTTGAATCAACAAAGACAATAAAAATATAGTGGTTCCTTTTTTCCAGGTGTAGTTCTTTTTGTTTCTATGAGTGTTATTCAGCCAGAGCAGCAGTCTGTTTATTTTAGAATTCCAAACAAAATTTGAGGTGGCTTTGCCTCCCTCATAAAAAACAAAGTATAGACAAGGACAAGATGAAGATTAAAAACTAGTTACACGAAGCAGAGAAATAGATGTTATCAGGCATTGAGAATGTGTTCATAGTGCTTTGGAGCACTCAGTTTGACCTAGCATTTCCTGACCAGTGAGTCAGTGGAGACACATTGAATTGTATAGGTCTGATAAAAGCAATGCGCTTTTTTTTTTTGGCTTAAACAAACTTTGTTTTTCTGTCATAAATCCACTACCTATAAGTGGTGGGTTGTAGCAGAACCTCTAAGTTCCTTTTAAGAAAGAGTTTTGACTATTTAAATGCCAGGGAATCCACAAAACCAGTGCCGTCGAGTCATATCCAACTCAGAGTGACCTATAGAACAGAGTAGAACTGCCCCATAGGTTCCGTAGGCTGTAATCTTTACAGGAGCAGACTATCACATCTTTTTTCCACGGAGCGGCTGGTGGGTTTGAACCACCAACCTTTTGGTTAACAGCCCGAGCACTTAACCACGGTGCCACCAGGGCTCCTTATGTTAGGGAATAGCTAACATAAAACAGTGATTTTCATTTTAGTATACTAGATCTGAATGAAGCCTGTGGAGCTATACATCCTACAGTTGGGTTTCTGCTAGGGCAAATTATGTGAAAGAATAAAATCCTGTGTGTTTTAGCAGCTATTATTTTGGGGGAGGGGAAGAGTCTGTTATTTGCAACTGATTTTAATTTACAACTGACAGAATAAGTTCATTATTCTCATTTTACAGATGTGAACACAGAAGCTTAGGCAGTTTAAGTTGCTTGCCCATGCTAGGTAGACAGTATAGAATAAGATTTTTTGTTCTGGAATCATACTGCTTGAGTTTGAATTTTGGGTTTGACTTTGTGTCCTTGGTCAACTTATTTAATTTCACTGGGTCATGAAATTAGATATCAAATAAAATATCAAATATTCATCTGTAAAATAAAAATAATACTAAGATATATATCATTGGTTTCTTACAAGATGAGCAATATCCATTGGAGACTTAGCATTGTGCTTATTTTAGCATATGGTCATGGCTCAGATAAGGTTGATATTTTCATTTTTTGTAACAATTTTGAGCTTGAAATTCTATTTGTCTGTTTTGTTTGAGGAAACCCTGGTGGCATAGTGGTTAAGAGCTACGGCTGCTAACCAAAAGGTTGGCAGTTCGAATCTACCAGGTGCTCCTTGGAAACTGTATTGGGCACTTCTACTCTGTCCTATAGAATTGCTATGAGTTGGAATCCACTCGACAGCAGTGGGGTTTGTTTGAAAGTCTTTTTAGATGCTTCGCTTCAATAAGCCTAATTTGCTCTGTTTAAAACCTTCACTCTTCAGTAAGTAAAACACTTTCAAAATGTAATTTGTTAAATAATTTTCTAATAATCTTTATCAGAACCAGACATAAGTCAATAATAGCAAAACTCCAGTGTAATCTGTACATCCTCAGTTGATGTATGGGTAGATGTTACTAGATATTTTTTGGGAACCTTCAGGGAAATAGTTTATTCTTGTTATAGAATGTTTTAAAAATGAATATAACATAAATAGTGTATATTTTGCCATGCTATATCCCAAGGCTGAAATTAAATGTTTTGAGGTTGGTAGATGTCACAAAGTAGTATTTCTGTTTTGCAAATGATGAAGCCGAGGAATAAGAATGACTTTTTCCTCTAGCCAAGTATCAAAGACATTAGCAGTAAGACCCAGGATGCTTTCAGTCTTGATTTTCTCCCTCCCTCCCTTTCTCTTTTTTCCCTTCCCTTTTCTTCCTTTCTTTTTAATTCAGCTGCTTTTACCACTCAGCCTTGAAGATCAGATGATTGAGTATGTGTATTTATACTATTTTGATAGTATAAAACTATGAGTAGGTTAGGCTGATGTCTGCTGGTTACTTTGCAAAGTATTGCATGTTTGTGCTGCTCCTTTCCAGCGGTGAAAATAATATGACCATTTTGTAAAGCTGTTTAAAAATGTCATTTTTGTATAATATATTCCTACCTATTAAAATGGACTGCATTTTAACAAGATTTTTTTTTTCTAGCAATCCATCAAAAACTGGAAGCAGATGGAACTGAAAAAGTGGAAGGATCCATGACGCAGAAACTGGAGAATGTTCTGAACAGTAAGTTTTGTCTTTCTACCCAAAACTATTTATGGACTTTAAAACAAGATTTAATACAGCATTTGGACCTGATTTCACATAACAAGGCAGTAAGTTACATCTTAGTATTTATTTCTAAATACTTTATGAACATAAAGGGGCAACAACATTGAAGGTGAGTGTTCTGTTTCTGTTTGCATTTTATTTATGAGATATCACAATTTGAAAGGAAGCCAATATACTTCTTAAGAAGTTAACTTTGCTGCCGTAAAACAGGTCAGTATGTAAATAGCATCAAAGATAGAAAAGCACTGAAACAGATGCCAGGATTGTCATTGACCAAAACCCCGAAAAAGATATCTCCAAGTATCTACCCATGTTAATGCAAATAGTGCCATCTGCGAGAATGACAGGTACTTACTTGTCATTTATTTATTTATACCTTGCCTTTTTCCATAAAGGATTTAAGGGAGCTGGATACTTAAGAGTATGTCCAACTCTGTGACATTTTGTAAAAATTGTAGGCCCAGGAGAGACTGATATATGCAAAGTTTTGGGTCCCTTCCACCTCCCCTTTTATCCTTTTGCTGACATCTTAAGCTCCTAAATAGGAGCTACTTATCCTACTGATTTGGAAAGATCTCATCAGATGAATTAATTCTTATTAGAACATTAGTGGCTTAAAGTTACATTATCCTCTTTCACGCCTACAGTGAACTTTCAACATGGGGCAAGAATGCCCTGGGGAAGCTCCTTGTTTTTAAATATAAATATAGCATATGATTTCCCCCATGAAATACAGTCAAAAATAACCAAGAAATTTAAGAAACTTCATGTCAAATATTCAATGATTCTCTGAATGCAGGACTGTGATATCGAGTTAATTTTGCACTTCCAGCTTAATTTAGTCCCAGAGGCAGAAGTTTCTGAGCCCTGTGTAAATATCTGTTTACAAATCTGGGGATCCCTGATAAGGACATCTCTTCTAGAAAGAAGCATTACTTTGGTGTAGGTTTTCCTTTGTAGTAGAATTCGAGTACTTGGATTTCATTCTAAATTTATGACTTTTACCAGCAGTTAAAAATTTTTTCCCTCTGGTTATTATTAGTTTTTATGCCTTGAGGTTTTTCTTTGTTTTTATCTGTGAGAACCAAGTTACCAACTTCGTTGAAATGAATGTTTTCTGAGTTCAACCCAAATGAGTATTTATTAAAGCCATTTCTCTATTAGCACTGTCAGACACTTGAAAGTCCTGAATCTTTTCTGCCTAGGGATGTTGTTTTCACTGGAGAACTTGTTGCTACACCCTAATATCTATGAAAAAAGAAGAAGATTATTTCAGTAACTTTTAAAAGATGACTCATAGGAACAAGCTGATATAATAAGTATATCATTGTATAAATAGAAAAAAACATGATACTCATTAAGGCTTGGAAAAAATAAAAGTCTATTTTATACGTTATGGTTAGCACAGTATCTTAATACTGCTTTTTTCTCTTAAGGAGCGGTTTAGGAAATCTTCATTCCAGGCTTATGGTATGAAAATTGTAAGGGAAGCTGTTTTACTTCTTTTCCTTTATAGCCATGAATTTGTGCTAGAAATGTGTCATATTAACTTTCTATTGAAGTTTACTCTTTTTGGGTAAGTTGGGCTCGACAAAATGGTCACTTCGTCATGAGCCCTCCCTTCAGGACTTTTTGGTGGAAGAATTTCCCCTTAGGTGTATTCCTTAATAATAATTCCCTTTTTCCCCAGAAACATTCTTTATCAACATGGTGTTGGTGTTTGCTATATTAGGATAGGGTCAACTTTACGAGCATTTCAGCACTTAGCTGTGTACAAGTGCTGTGCTAGATTTAATGTGGGATACAAAGTTGGAAGAGATGTGGTTTCAGCTCTCTAAGTTTCTTCCAACTAGATTGATGTATTATATTTATCCAGGACCTAAATGACTGTAGGAGCCCTGGTGGCACAGTGGTTAAGAGCTCGGCTGCTAACCAAAAGGTCAGCAGTTCAAATCCATCAGCCGCTCCTTGGAAACCTTATGGGGCAGTTCTATTCTGTCCTGTAGGGTCACTATGAATCGATTTGACTCCACGCAACAGGTTAAATAACTGTAAAATGGTGAAAAAAGTGTAGAAAATTAAAATCAGAAAAAATTTTTATAGAAGTAATTAGGAAAGAAGGAATAAATGAATATGAATGTAGTTTAGTTTGCTTATATTATTACTAATGCTTTTGTTTTATGTATAAGTTATATGCTAATTTATGTGCATCTTTCTTTAGTTTTTTTAAGTGAGAGTTTTTTTTCTTTGAATTGTGTAGCCTTTCTCACTTTAAAATAAGTTTCTACAGGGTAATGTTGGTTATAAGAAACTTAGGCCATTGTATTCAGGGTTTATCATTGTCTAATCCTTTCATTGAAATTCCTTTTCTGTTTTCAAGCCAGTGATGAAGTGATGACTATTAATTTATTTATATCAAATTCTCATATCCAGCCCTATGTTCTTTCTTTTTCCAAGAGTATAGAACAGTACTGTCCAATAGAACTTCTGCGATGATGAAAATGTAGCTGTTGAGCATTTAAAATGTGGCTAGTGCAGCTGAGGAATAGAATTTTTTAATTTTAATTAATCTAACTTTAAATAGCCACATGTGGCTAGTAGCTACCTATTAGAATGTGGTATTAGAATAGACAATGTAGTTTAAGTATTCGTAGTGGTGGTTACAGTAGTAATAGCTAAAACTTATGAAGTGCTTACAAAGGGTCAGGTGCTATTCTTAACATTTTATACATGTTTAGTCCTTAGAACAACCCTATGAGGTTTGTAGTATTACCTCCATTTTATTGATGAAAAATACTGAAGTCCCGGAAGATTAAATGAGCTACCTAAGGTCATATGAGTAGTAAATGGCAGGGCTTGGATTCATATGCAGAAATCTGGCTCCAGACTTCAAACTGCAAGCTGTCCTTGCTGTGTAGGGTTCCAATATGCATGAAGCTCATTACCATGGTTCAGTTAAGTAGCACCAGCCCTCCAGCAACATGGCTCAGATTTCAATTACCGTAGTGTATTAGCTGTGATTGCACATGTATAGACCTTGCTGCCAGCTCTTCAGTCCACAGATCATCATGTAATAACAGATGCACATCAGGGCCAGTGATCAGCAGAGCCCTTTTCTTCAGAGTCTGAGGGGGTGAGTCCCTGTGCCTCTGTTACTAGTTCATGCAGACACGGTCAACAAGGCATGCAATTTTTTATCTCTTTGTTTCTCAGTGATAAAACCATGTGACATTTTATAAGAACGGATAATTGAAACAGGGAATTGGCCCACAAAGATAAAAGCACATCAAAAAACCCAAAGTGATAACACTGAGTGAAATTCAAACCGAACCTAAGTGGAGTTACAGAAGAAATAGCTGACCAGGGAATGTGGGTGGTGCTCCTACTGGAGAGACTACGGGTGTGCAGCCAGAGGAACTTAGTGAGGGGGACTTAGTGACAGAAATGTGGGAAGTGGTTGTGATGAAAAGGGTGGGGGTGTCCCAGAGGAAAGGATGCTGGCAAAGAACTTCACATTAAAGGAACTCTTAGAGTTACTTTACAGAATTGAAAGTGCAAAGGATAAAATGCTGGCAGTGAATCCAAACTTAGGATGGAGTATGACAGTTTGCTAAGGCATAGAAACTGCTTGCTCATATCCTAAGATTTATGATGAAAAAAAGGCAAACACTCTTGATAAGTTTTTTACAAAGAAATTAAAACACGTAATTTTCAGTGTTTCTAATGTTTGAAATTACAGTGTACTAAATATATTTCACTATTTTTTAAATTTTTGTATATTTATAATCAACAGTAAGCAAGTTTTTGTTTCAGTAAAATTTTTTAAATGTCATGGAACCATCATAATTCTCCCCATTGATCATTAAACTGCTTTGCTCCATTTCAACTTGTGCGGCCATTTTGTGGCCCCACAGTACCATGCACAGTGGGGCTGGCCTGTGCTGTATTACACCACCTAAGTAGAAAGAATACTGGACATTTGATGTAGGAGAGTGCATTTATTGAGCACATGCTCATTCTGTCCCAGGAATATAAAGATAAAACTTGCTCTTTGCCTTCTAAGAGTTTATAGTCTAGTGAAAGATACGGACCGATAAGCAGGTGATTACGTTATGGTGTGATGATGCTCTGCTAGTGGTAACCCTGGGATGCATCCGGAGCACACATAGGGGCACCTGACTGAAAAGTGGAGTGGAGAGAATCCCAATCCCAGAGAAGGGTGGCATCAGCCTTATGAGGGGGCAGAAGGTAGCCAGGCAAGCAGGGGTTGGTGAGTAGGTTGCTAAATGGATACAGGTGTGTTCCAGGCAGGGCAAGCAGCATGAGCAGGAAGGCACCAAGTTTAGAGTCCCAGAAACTATCGTCCAGTATGGCTAGCGTGCAGAAGTGATTGGTGAGACTGCAAAGGAGATGGGGCTCTTGTGACACACTTCTGTGTAGTGTTGTAGAATTTGTCTTTATCCCAAAGACAGATGTGACCCATGGAAGGATTCTAATAAGGGAGTGACGTTAGGAAATTTTTAAGGAACTTTATGCGAGCTGTGTAAAGAATGGATTAGAAGGGAGCTGGATTAGAGTCAAGAAAGGAGACCAGATAGAAGTATGTAGTTGTAATGTAAGAGCAGATAGAAATGGTGAGGACTTTTAACCAAAACAGAGGTGGTGAAGACTTTTAACCAAAACAGAGGTGGTGAAGATAGAGTAAAAGACAAATGAGAGATATTAAGGAGGTAAAATAGGCAGTACTTGTCCACTGGATTGATGTGGGAAGTAAGAAAAAGGAAGTAGACAATGATGACTTCCAGATTTCTGGCCTCAAGCTGAGGAAGAGGAGCAGGTTTGGGGAATGCAGAGAGGAGTAGAGAGGAAAAAATTCAGTTCAATTTATGACCTGTAGAGTTTGAGATTCCTGAGGGTCATACCAATGAATATTTTTCTAGCTCTCACCATATCCTAGCTGTGTAACATTAGGCAAATTGAATAACCCCTCTGTGTTTCAGTTGCCTCTGCTATAAATGGAGATCATTATAGTGCCTATCTTTATATCTTACAGTGTCATAAACAAGTTTAAATGAGTTAATACATGTAAAGTTTTTAGAATAACACCAAACATAGAGTAAATGCTCACTATATTACCTATCATTATTATATGTCTAAATCAAAAACCAAACCTGTTGCTGTCGAGTTGATTCCAACTCATAGCGTCTAGTAAAAATAGATTAGTCCTAACCTAACAGGCGTATCTTGAGATACAGATTTGGGACTCAACAGCATAGAGATGATAGTTGAAGTAACAGGATTAAATGATTTCACCCAAGTACTGTGTTATAATTAAAAGAAGAAAGCCTTTTACTAGCAGATTTGAAACTCTAAGAATTAAGAGTCATGTTTGTAAAAAAGGAACTGACTTACTAAGCCTTAGTCAGTGGTGTGCTGGTAAATATTAACAACTGGCACTCCCAAAAGAAAAAAACCAAAAACAGGCCACCGGAACCCTAATTTTAGCATTTGCTGATTTCCAAGCTGTAAATACTCCCACTGTGGTTGATTTCAAACTGCCAGTCCAACACTACTGAACCAAAGCTGGAAAGGGATATGAGCCTGTACAACATGCACCTTTCTCATCCACAAAATTCCAGTTTCGTGTACTTCATGTGGGGTTATAAAATTCCAGTGCCAGAAACAGTGTTGTAAGCAAGTATTAAATATTGCTAACGGTGCTGTTAACATAAGGAAATGATGTTTGTTGTAGGTAGCAGTCTAATCATTTTCTTAGAGTCTGTTAAGACGAACTGCATCAGTCACAGCAGGTGGTTAAGTGTCTTGTGCTCTTCGTTCTGTTATGCGTTTAAGTAAAAATTTTGAAGCTTCCTTAGTTTTCCAGCTGCTCTAATGTTTCATTTCCTAATTTCATTCAGCTTGCCTATCCTGGGATAAATTGTATTTTGCGGTGTGTGTCTTGAGTACTCTTCCCCCCCACCCATGCCCATCAAACAGATCCACTGTCTCAAGGGTCAATACCTAGAAAAGGACCAATAAGGTCACTTGAAAGTAAGAGAAAGCATAATATTGACATTAAATAAACATGCATGAGAGTATAAGACACCATTGGAATTACACAACTAAGTTTTCTAGATAACAGGACTTCCTGGCACAATTAAACATTTTTTTCTTCTTTTGCTGCTTTTTGCAGTTAAGAATATAAGATCAATTGCCAGGTATGAGTTTGATTGGTTAGTGTGCAGTGCTAACATCACCCCTCTTTCCACCTTACACTGTAGGAAAGTTTCACTATAATATGGGCCTGCAACAACTGTGGCAGCTGAGTATTGTTACCACAGCGTTGCTGTTAGTTCTCAGGTTCGTTTGGATCTAAGGCTGTGGCGGTCACCGTCAGCATGCATGGTGTTGAGATCAGCCCAGAGTGAGGATAAAGGATGAAATTTCAGGTCTTCGCTCGCTCAGCGCTGGTAAAACAGAAGATCAAGGTTTGCTCTGAAACCTGTAAAGCCAAAGTTGCGGTTTTTATGACCATGCGGTTGAATTAGATTTGTTGTGTGGTTCCCAGTGCTCTCAAACCCCTGCTGGCTACTGTAGATGCGCGTGTTCTTGGTGTGAGGAAGATGAGTGAGGGTGTGGATGGAGGAGTGCACATGTGCGATCACTACTTGGAAGGACCCAGGGTTCCTGCTGATGGTGGAGAACACCACTGTTGTTTAGTTGTTTTTTTCCCTCCTTCATAGCCCTAGCGAATACAGAGACATACAGTGCTTGTGAGTTGCTGGTGATTTTTATCTGCCTGCATAAATCTTGGTTTTGCTGCTCTCATTTATTTCATTACTAGATATAATCATCCAATTATCAAAGAGTTATGAACTCCCAAAATTTTATTGTGTATGCAGTAAAATTCACAGCAGAATAATAATTTATAGGCAGAAATTGTCTATTAATTAAAATTATAATTTTATAATTTCTCTGTATGCGTTAATTAAAATTCTCCGTATATACATTCATCTCTGTATAAATAAACTAT